TCTGCTGTGCTGTGTTTGCTCATAACCCCTTTTCGGATTGTCCGATGGTACACAAATTGACTGGTTTTTATGTCCACAACCTGGTGACGTCGTTGTTGGAAATGTTCTGCTGTGTTTGCTCATAACCCCTTTTCGGATTGTCCGATGGTACACAAATTGACTGGTTTTTATGTCCACAACCTGGTGACGTCTCGTCGTTGTTGATAATTGTTTCTGCCGAATGTAATTCGCCGTCTGTTCATTTTTAACAGAAAATGCCGGGTTCCGTGGAGGTTCAAGGCTTCAACCCACTTCTATAGCGGATCCACCTACGCAGGAGTTTCAGCTTCACGACACTCCAACACGATTGCCTCCCGCTCATGAGGTTGCTGCAACGAAGGACTTTGTGGCGTCTCCAACCGTTGTATCTGACTTCATCCGGTAAGACTGGGGAGTCCCGTGCTCTGTATTTGTAAAAATCGGAAGAAAAGAGTGACATCTTAGTGATTATCCGATCCTTTTGTGTCCTATTTCTTGGTTAATTATTGGTATTACACCATTCTTCACCACGACACGAGTTATTTTCGAAAAAATCAAATATGTTGCAAGGTGAACAGTCCTAACATCGAAGACTTCCGTAACTTAATATGAACTTTCCACCCTTCGAACTAGGGACGTCTAATTAAATCCAACAGCATTTTGTCGATTCTTTCCTGCACGGGTCATCGTCCTCGTGACGGCGGATGCCGTCAGCTTTCATCTACACAGGGTGCTATTCTTCTTGGTATAGCTGAACACAGATGGCTAAAATTTGTCAGTATTTTTAGACCGATTTATTCCTACCATTATCTATGTGATAGCAAGTTTTCTTCACAGATGTAGAAAGGTCGCCTCTGTACCCCTCAACATTTCTTCAGAAAGGACCAGTCGGCTGTACACATGCACCTGCGGTCTACGGGGTAGCCACATTTCTGTCATTCCCGCTCAGCGTAATGCGTTGTCTCACTAACTCCCGGCCAGTAAGTGAACAGTGAGATGATGCGAAACATCACTGTTCTTTTCCCCCAACGTTAGTTGATATATCAATCAGCGGGTGAAAAGTTAGTTCAAGTGTCTGATTAGTGTTAGAAACTCTTCTATCTTCATCAGTTCACCTCAGTTTAACTGCCATGGCACGGTATATCCCACGGGCGTTATAACTAGCCATATGGTCGAACGCACTTTTCTTTTTTCCTTTGCACTTTTCCGACAGAATTGGCGATTGTTCAAGTTATCGCGCTTGAACTTTGCGCGATGTCCATAATCTCTTTCAGTTGGGTGCTTGCCTTGGTCGATAAAACATAGCACATACCCTGTGTATGTAAGATATAAGATAGGATGTACTGTTCTCTGGTATTTTTTTATGTCCCCACCCAGATCATCCAAAGCAACACCGATCTCTCATCCTGAGTTCCCGTGTCTCGGTCAGTTAGAACGGAAAACCAATAACTTTAACAGCTTTTCGTCGTCTTCCTACCTCAGTGTTCCGGGTAGTGCACACGCAGACGAGTTGCTTACTTTGGACACGGATAACGCTAATGCTCGTGACGGAACCTCGACCTCTTCGTGTGGTGACATTTCACCTTCGGGTCCTGGACGATGGATACGCCTGGAAGCGATTGGGGCCAGTGAACCAGAGCTGGCGATCGAGGATGAAGAAAAGGGTGAATTTGTGGATGACATGAAGCCCGAGCCCGTACGTCTGCAATCTGCTGTAGGGCTTTTCTGCCTAATTTTGCCAGTACTTTTTGCATCATTTAACGCAGTCAGGTTATCGACCGTAATCCATTTACCGAGGTTACGTTGATTCCAGCTGCTACAGTTTCGATCGCCGGAGAATAGAAGATCATGGAAAATGCAGCCAAACATCCAATTGCGTTTCCAAATGTAAACATCTGTCGGAGACTGTAAAGTTAGTCACCCACATGAGAAGAGATCACTTCCAAAGGTAGACCAAACCCCTCTTTCCCCTTAGCTACTGTGTAGCTATTCAGGTTTGTGTGCGTTTTCTCTCTGTCTGGAAATAATGGTGTGTGCACCAGTAAGCGCCCACCGAAGCACATTCTGTGGAGTTCACTGTATACCATAACTTTTTAGCTTATTTTGTTTGTGTTCTTTTTCGACTGTTCTTTGTGAATGTTTGGCCGCGAGAACCAGGTAACCGAAGATGCGTTAGGCGGTTGCCTAGAGACAGTGACTCTACCACTCTGTCGGATATCGACAAATGGAAGGTGATATGAAACGCACCGCTTTTACCTTCGTTTTGCGTGTTATTAATCATTTTTTACCTCCCTTTCGGTCTATCACATGATGTATGGGCATTTATGTCGACACTAGAATGCACCTGCTTAAATTCGGATTTCGTTTCAGTTAGAGTGCAATGATACCAATACAAATTGTTTGGTGCTCTACAGTGTTGGCTAAACAGTCATGGACTGCAGCAAACTCGTCGAGGTGCCATTGGTTGTATTTGGCACTTTTGGCTCTGGCAGTTTGGGAAGTAGTGGGTTGTTATTTCTGCGTGCATAGTAAGAGGTTTTCCCACTGTAATTTGGCTCCATTATTACATCTTGATGGATTCAGACGGTTATCTTGAAAACACACTGCCTTGCTGTTTGTCGGTCCCAGTTCGAAAATGTCTATTACCCGTTTTTCAACATTTTTGCCTTGCTTCGAAATTAGGGTGTGAGATGGCTCAGTGCTTAAAGCGCGAATTCACCGACCGGAAGGTCCGTAGTTCGACCCCGACCTCTGCATCTCGACTTCTTCTGTCCATGCTTGGGCAACCTGGCAGTATCCCAGCCCTCGTGCTTTCTTTGGGTGACATGGCAGATAGGCAATGAAAGGATGCTACGCCTGAATGGTTATTGTTACTTTGAAATTAACACCAATGTCAAGCATCTAGTTCCCCGTGAAGATCGATGGCTAAACGGGATGACAACTGAGCCGTTCGAGCTTATCTGAATCATCCAGCGTCTGGTTAAAACACAGTGAACCTTTCTAGCCTGTCTCCTAGTTTTGGGTACATACGCAACTCGTGAGGCCGTTTTCTTGTCGAGGAGGTGCAGGCCAGTGCCGAAGAAGCTGACCGTAAGGCTCACTTGGAATCTACCAGTTTACCCGGGACTCACGTGGCATTATCTCGGCCTTCAGGTCTCTTGTTGCCAGTTTATCCATTAGTAACTTTTGATTCTGCTGGATTTCTTGATAACGCAGTTATGAAAGGTGTACATTTATATAGGGATGGGGAGATCATTTCAGTAGCCATGCATTGCTGTTGACGTACACTATTAATTTAGCTAATTGCTTACGGAATGTGATGCCATTTCCACGGAGCAGTGGACCTAACATAGTGTGATTTTATGGCAATCCCGTTTGAGAGCGAAAATAACTAATCCTTCGGCCCACATAAACGAGCTAGTTGTCTCCCCATGCCGTCCGCAACCGGAGTTTGATTGGACTGCAGTCAGATTGGTACGTGGTTTTTCCGAAGTCAAGCACTACCCAGAATTGTCCGGTTATTTGGCACTGTGCATATTATTGAAGTTTTATATAGTTATATATGTACTTTACTCATAGTTACTTACAGTTTATACTGCCATAGCACAATAAATCCTTCTCAGAGAGAGAGAGAGAGAGAGAGAGAGAGAGCGAAGGCAGTGAGATGTCATCGCATTACCTATCTGGAAGATCTATTATAGGTCTTTCTCAAATGATGCTTCGTTGCACAGCTTTTTAAGTTTTCGCGCCGATGTCGCTTCTTCAGCTAGTACTGAGTCGTTTGTATCCACAATTATTGAGTGACCGGACTCTCGATAAATGGGATCCAACGGCCCTCTATCTCTGTCGAAACCATCCATCTGAAAATACCAACTCTTCACTATTAAAGTCTCTCCAGAGGTCCCTTCAAACAAAGTCGGACAACTGTATTCTCTCAAATTCTCATTTACCCTTCTTTGCCCCATAGGTTTTAATAGACCGGACATTCATGCGTTCTCTTTCGGTCCGATTTTGGAAGACAACTGCATTACCAAACTTTCCCCCATGACGTTCATGATCTCGGCTACCTTTAGGTATATACTGTTTACTTGTGCCCTAAGATTCATAAACAGCTTAACTGTAGTTCGTTTTCCTTTGTTTCTGATTATACATGCTTTCTGTTTGTCTTTCAGTTGGTATTGTCGGAGCAGGTTCGGAACTGCGTAATACGAAAACTGCATAAAGCAAACCTCCCACTCGGTGACAGCCGTTCTGAGCACCCTATGCATAAACCACTGGACGAGGTGAAACGCTCAATCTACAGCGATCCCTTGCGTTTCATTAAAATTCACAAGCGTCAGCAATCCAGGTAGTGTCGTGTACCAGTTTCTGGTTTTATCAATCTTATGTGCCATACTCCTACTTGAGGGTCCATTTTCACGGTGTTTCACTGTGGGAGGTTGACCAATAAGCATAGAATCGTATGCCTTCTACTTCGGAACGATGAAGTCTCATTTGAATCCGGACGTTCTCAGTGTTTTTTTCGAGGGTGAAGTTTGCTTTTCTATTACCTTTTAAGAGATTAGGTATTCTTGCCTGTCCGTTATTCACATATACTGCTACAACGTGGTGAACCTTATATTTGTCCTGAGCTCCCACCGTCTTAGTCAACAGCAACTGGCTTTTCATCCATGTTGCTGAAATTGCACCATTAAACGCGATAAGTTGTCTCGAAGATGTAACCCAACATAGCAGCAAAGATAACAGTCACTGTTCCTTCCTCCATTTTATCCTTCGCCTCTCACTCAAGCACTATATACAAAAGCTAAAAAGGTACGTGGGCACTTCTTTCGGTGGCGCTGACACCCTGATCGGGCTGCCCGAAGACCACTTTACAGACCTCATTTCACAAGCGCGGATGGTCACTTCTCTTCACCACTATCCACCAACCACGCTGTCTCCCAGAGGGCCATACGCCCTTGTAATTGTAGAACACGCTAGCTCCCGATTTCCTCATCCAGCTGGTGATAAATTGATCACTATAGCTATCGCTTGCCTAGAGCAAATATGCGGCCACAAAATGAACGGGATAAGTTGTCAGCTGGTCATCATTATCCCTTCACCTCCGGTCAGCAGTACAATGACTACAGTAACCATCAACTATCCAGTGCCTTTAGTGTCCCTCTCCCCAGAGCCTCTGCTGTGCAGTACGCCGATGTGACCCTATCAGGTGATTTTAGTTTGTAACCTCCCATATCCCATCAATCTTCAGTAGGGTTAGGGCTCCGATCATCATCGTCACTAACAACAACACCAGATGAGCATGCTGGTGCTTCACTGCCGTACAGCCATGAATAAAGCCTAATAACACCTGATTCTTTCGGTGATATTCGTTGATTTGTTAATGCTTGTGTTCTTCCTACTAGATTCATTTCCCCATGCCTCCTTACCGGTCCCATTTGAAGAAAAACCACTACCTTTTTTTCAAGTCGCTAAAGTGACTTTCTAGGTGATGTGGAGTACAAAGAAACGTCTTTTCTGACTTCAAGATAAACAAGCGTTTCAACGCTTGTTGCAAATTTACGCAACCGATTTTCTCCGACACCTTTCATCTCATCAGTAGTCGCCCAGTGAAGCCCTATTCACATTGTGCACTAGCTGGGAGTACAAACTTCTATACATCGGATCTGTAATTCTGTAATTTCTTGGTTGGCTGTTTTTCTAGTTACTAAGAGCAATAACGTTGCGTATCACGCTGATCTACCCTTGTAAAGAGCTCATTAGTGTGTGTTTATCATCATCA